ACATTTCCAGGACTGCCGTTTATCAGGTTTCATCTCCATTTTATCCCTGTCGAGGCGTCTATTTTTGGCGATATATGGTGAATTCTCTGAATCTGTCCTGGAGATCGGCCACATTGGAAATTTAGCTTCGGTTACATGGGCTGGTGGTCTGCAAACATTTCATCTACGGACAGTTTCATTTTTCTTCCAGTCAACACAGCATTGATGGTGTATAGGTAACCTGTGGATTTATGCTGAGAGCTTCTATAAGCCAGAAGGAAATAGGGCTTGACCCGATGGTCTCATATAGATATAATTAAATTGTCTAGACAAACAACCAGCACGTTTGTTGATGAAATAATGTCAAATTTAAAATAAAGCGTACTGATTTATTATTGTTTGTTTAAACACTTTTGACGTGACTCGCGCATGCGCCACAGAAAAAAAGCTGAATGACAATCCCTATCAGGGACCAGTTCATCCCCTTCTCGCATAGAGAGGTATTTGATTGATGTGGTCTGACTGTGCCTCTCGACCTTTTCGTCACAGACTGTGGATGAAGGTGGAATCGTCCAAATTTTCTTCCGGCTATTTGCGCCGCTATAACTTGAGGAATATTTTATCCAAGTGGAGCTTTATATGAAATTGAATGTAACTCTTGTAGAAACAAAAGTCACATTCAACGCTCCACTTAGATTAAATATCCCTTAAGTGATAGCCGTGCAAATAGCCGTTTACTGCTAGCAACTTTATCAGTTGTTTCTATATTTCATACTTGAAATCTCCTGTGTCTGGCTATGATGTTTTCCAGTAATGCTTCAGCAACTGTAACCGCTTCTTGATTGAGGATTGCAACTACTGGCCACTTTGAAAAATAGGTCAATAGCAATCATAGGATACCTATTTCCCGACTCTGTTGTAGGAAAAGGACTTGCGACAGGTACCGCAAATTCGCTCCGAGGAGGAACCAGCAAAGTACCTACTGTGGCATTCCTACTCGAGATAGTGTCCTGGGTCGTTTCCTGGAAGTCCAGAGGTCTCATATTATGCACCATTCTCCAATATCCCTACGACAGTGGATCCAGTTATAACGATCGAACTCGACTCCAAAGTCGCTTCAACTATGTAGTTCACGACGCAGTTTGTCAACTAAGGTCCGTGGCACAATAATATACTAGGCTTTTCTCATCTGGAGTACCCCATCTATGAGTGATCAAGATATCTCACAGGGCGCAGGCAAAACGAATCCAATCACAGATTGAACGCCATATGGAATTTCTTGCCATCCATATCATGATCCGTTTTATTACCAGCCATGCACCATTCTCAATTCCTTGTCAGCAATTTGTTCTTCTCAGAGTCTTGTTTGGTATCAGTTTGAAGGATGCCACCGTGTTAATGGTCAAATCACATTTATTGCCATTGAAACGAGATCAGTTCTTCTTGATCCAAACCACCCTTATTTCGAGGGCTAGGGAATCAGTGGTCGCCTTCTCTATCCACTGTCGAGGTGGCGTTTCCCTGTTGTCTGCATCCACCTTGATCCTTCTCATCGCGGAACTTGTTTCGCAAACTTCGTTCGCGCAGTATTTTTCCTTTACGTGTGGTCTTAGGGAACCTAGCCTACATTTTCTACAATATGTACCTCACGGCCACAGCTGTAACACCGTATTAGCTTTCTTGTTCTCTGAACGCGGTCTCTTTTTACAAGGTATTTCTAAAGCATCGCTTCATCTAACTTATGCAAAATATCTGTCGCTTTCTTCTACTATCCTCACCTCCCTTATTTGGGTTTTTCTGTTTATTGAAATCACTTCTAAATTCCTGCAGCCTCTCTGATAGACCTTGCACCCTGCTTTCCATCTGACTCAGCAGGGCCGGATTTTATACTCGTGCAACTCCTGCGAGGGGGTGGCATATTCTATCTAGGTATATTAGTATATTTTTATACAGATTTAAAAAAAAAAAAAATAGAGACAATGACCTTTAAACTATATTGCACGGAAATGCGGCCAGTAGTTGGGGCGCGTGCTACCTGCTAAGTGGGAGCAGCACCCCCGCAAAGAAGTACAAACGCCCCTGGCCAATCACCTGCTAGCGATAACCGGCTCCGTCAAGTTAGCCCCCCCACATTCAAATTTCCTAACAAAATTGCAACCACTTAACTGTGCTCGAAGTATGCTTTACTAAAGCGTGCCGATGATATTTTGAACTGTGCCGTTCCGCTACCAAAGTTATAAAAAAAATCAAGATGAGGGGCTAACTTGACGCTCAACCCCCCAAAAATTTTGGAAATCAAATCAAACAGAAATGAATTCTTATGCAATCTGAAGTGTACTGTATCAGGTTTTTCTGAAAATTTTCATATTCGATCATTTTCTGACATAATCCTACTGGAGGACTAACTTGACGATCAGCCCCCCCAAGATTTTGGAAATCAGATCAGACAAAAATGGATTCTTATGTAATCGGAAGTGGGCGAAACTGTGCTATATCAGGTTTTTCTCAAAATTTACATATTCCGTAATTTTCCGACAAAATCCTACTGGGGAGGCTAACTTGACGCTCAGCCCCACAAAATTTTGGAAATCAGATGAAACAAAAATGGATTCTTATGCAATGTGAAGTGTGCTGAACTGTGCTGTATCAGGTTTTTCTCAAAATTTCCATATTCGGTCATTTTCTGACAAAATTCTACTGGGGAATTGGGGAAGCTAGCATTGACGCTCAGCCACCAAAAATTTTGGGAATCAGATGAAACAAAAATGGATTCTTATGTAATCTGAAGTGTGCTGGACTGTGTTGTATCAGGTTGTTCTCAAAATTTCTATTTTTGAAATTAAATCAAACAAAAAAGGATTCTTATCCAATGTGCACCAGTGCAAATATTTAATCGCTTGGAGTGTTTGATTCGATTTTCAAAATTTTGGGGGAGCTGAGCATCAAGTTAACCCCCCAGTAGGATTTTGTCAGAAAATGACCGGAATTTTGAGAAAAACCTGACACAGCACAGTTTAGCACACTTCAAATTGAATAGGGATCCATTTTTGTTTGATCTGATTTCCAAAATTTTAGGGAGGCTGAGCGTCAAGTTAGCCCTCCAGTAAGATTTTGTCGGAAAACTACCAAATATGAAAATTCTCATGAAAACCTAATACAGCACAGATCAGCACACTGCAGATCCCATAAGAATCCATGTTTGTTTGATCTGATTTCCAAAATTTTGGGGAGGCTGATTGTCAAGTTAGCCAAACCAGTAGGATTTTGTCGGAAAATAAACGAATATGAAACTTTTCCGGAAAACCTGATACAGCACAGTTCAGAACACTTCAGATTTCATAAGAATCCATTTTTGTTTGATCTGATTGCCAAAATTTTGGGGTGGCTGAGCGTTAAGTTAGCCCCCCAGTTGAATTTTGTCGGAAAATTACTGAATATGGAAATTTTGAGAAAAACCTGACACACTGTACGTTCAGCACACTTCCGATTGCATAAGGATCCATTTTTGTTTGATCTGATTTCTAAAATTTTGAGGGGCTGAGCGTCAAGTTATGGTATCGGAACGGCACAGTTCAAAATATCATCGACACAGTATAGCACACTTCGAGCACAGTAAGTGGTTACAATTTTGTTAGAAAATTTGAATGTGGGGAGCAACTTGACGGAGCCGCGATAACCAACTATAATTTGTGAAAACTATTATTGTGAAAAATTCCCCTCCCCCGAAGTAAAAAGTTCCTCATCGGGGGCGGCAAAACAAGCTCTTGCACGAGGGCGGCCAAAAGGCTAGAATCGGCCCTGAACTCAGATACAGCTAATTCTTAGGAATCTCAGGCGCTTGCAATATACCTAATCGCTTTGCTGCACCACATTTATCCTGTCAATATCTTTCTGTATTATTTTTCAGTCGCCTGTCATCTCATTCTCGCTATATTTTACGGCTATGGTAAGATGCATTATCCATTATAGAAATGCTTTGGTCCCAAAATGCCTCAAAACAATTGTTCAAATACTGAGCAGTTGTTCATCTAGGCTGCCATATTCAGGATTGACATTAACAATAAACAGTCGTTTCCCAAATTAGTGAATATTGTTCTCCCATGCAGACTGTCCGTATAGCCCAATCTGGATAAGGTACTATCTTCAGCAGATGAATATTCCCTAACTGCGCCTCTTGGCCCTTTTAGATGTATCAGGATTTTTCGCTTGATATGTTCTGAATTACACGCAGCAGAATAACTGAATATTTTTTTATTCTTGCGTTGTTGGCCAAATCATCAACAGAGCCGGCCACTGCGCTGCTTGAAGGATGTCAGAGTTCCTCCATTTTCCTTGATCCCTTTCGAAACTTTAGATATTATCGATTAACCTATGCTTGAAATAAATTATTATTTACGTAATAATAATGCTTTTTACACATCAACAACCTGAAATTTACTAATCGTAAACAATCAAAATATGTAGGACCCCATATGAAGCAAGAATAAGACGATAAAAAAATGAAATTGACAGCTTTTTATTGTGTTTGAAGAACTCTGAAAGTTGGTAAATCAATACTCTGTTGTATAATTTTTACAAATAGCTACTCATTGGAGTGCATTTTGAGTTTTAACTTTTGGTATGCAAGGTATTAGTTTTCTTTTCCACAAGAAAAGTCACCGCCTTGGCGCCAAAGCCGCGAAAATGACAAAAATAAATGCTGCATAGACACCTCCATCTCCATTTGCTAGGCTCTCTATCCACGACGTTCTCATAAAACATACACGACCTATCTACTAGGATACGTTTCGTAAAGAACGTAAATATAAAATACCGCCATTTATTTGCTCCGAGAAATGTAATCTAGCGTTGAATTTAGTTGGCTTTTGTGCACAAACGAAAATAAATTGACTAAAAATTAAAATGTCACTCTTGCGACTTGTTTACTCTTTGAAATATGGCCAAATATATTATATTTTCACAAAATCAACCACTTTGAAAATGTGTTTCTGGATAACGTTGATGAAATAAACGATATTTACCTCCTTGAAAGTTCTAGCCACATAACTGGATACCGTCCTTCCTCTTTACCATAAAATTCTGCAACTATGGTTCTAGGTAATTCTTTTCCTAGACGATCCACTTCAATCTTATCCAGTGATAGTTGTCCAACGATGTTCTTTGATTTTTCTATATAAAAAAAAAATCAATTAATCACAACCATATGCTAGGACAGTAATTTCAGGCATATTAATATTCCATATATTTAGATAAAAAAATTCAGTTAACTGGATTTTTGTATAAATTTAGGTTTTGGATCCAGAAACTGGCTCAATGGTCGCAAATAAATATTTTGTATGGAAATCTAACCACCTATATGATTTGGAGATCGATGGAGATTAAACTTGTAGATTTCAAAATATCTTAGAAAAACAAAAAAAAACAATCTATATGGAAAACTATAATTATTTGCTTTTGTGTGAATTCGCCGGTAGAAAAATTCTAAATGCAGCCTATTGATAATATCGCTGTTATAGGCGTCAGGATTCAATACCTCCGAACCATGACGGACAAGCCCGGAAAATATTTATTACAATAAATTCTGAAGATGCTTTACTTCCATCGTGCGTGGGTAGCATGCATTCGGTTTTTGCAATGATATAAGTTTAAAACAAAATATAGAATAAATTTTGAGCTAAGTTGTTACCTTTAATATTCCACCCTTCCGAAAACACTTCAACCATCCTATCTCTTGATATGGTACTCTCTGGACATATAAGGGCAGTATAAAGGGCAGTATGAATGACGATTCTATTTGAAGTTTCACAAGTATGACCAGTACGTGATGTGGATCTAGAAACTTTTAATGTAGCTACAAAAATTTTATAAACTTTAATAGTTTACCTTAATGTATTATTATTGCTCCATCTACTTGAGTGCTTGAGAATTACTCCTCCGATTTTCACGTATAAGTATTTGCTGGGTCCCGGAACAAATACTCGAGGACTGTATTCGCAATTCAACTGAAATATAAAAATGTTCATAATTGAAAAGTCTAATAAAAAGCATTATTAAATTAAAAACCATAACATGACAATGAATTTTGCTTCACTCAAAATGGCTTCATCAACTACTCTGGTTTGGGTATTGTCTTCAAAAATGTTTTCTAGTGACGCGAAGTCCTATGTTACGTTAAGGCGTAGGATGTTGCGATCCCATCGCCCGCGATTCGAGTTGAATACTCCCAGCCCCAGCCAGCCCTGAGCTCGAGGAGCCCAATCGTCTTAGTTTCTATGCCATTGAGACGGAACTCGAGCTTAGAGATCATGCGCCTGCTGACTGTGCATCAGCATTTCCACATTATTAAAAGTCACGAACAGGCATATTCTATTCTAGGACACATAAGAACATGATCTCCAAAGCACACCAAAGTGCTTCGGCGATCGACAAGTTGCGACGGGAGCAGGATAGTGTAGCCTGGAAGCTATTAGTAGCAAACCGGATGCGGCGGATAAAATTATCGCCGATTTGCTCAAGGATTGGCTGTAGAGCAACTCGTGCGCTGCATCCGTGACGACCATGACTGAGCAGCTCTATTTAGGATCCGCTCTGCTCACCCTAAAAGGGAAGGGGCTATGAAAGGTGGCTCAAACATAGCCAGCCAACAAATGCCCGACTGCAAGACAAATGCAAGAGAAATCCAGAGAACAAAATCGCCCTCTATACAAGGCCTTCATAGATTTAGTGAAAGCATTTGATTCGGTGAACAGATAAGCTTTTTGGAAGATATTGGCAAATGTTGGGTGTCCGCAAAAGTACATCCAGATACTCCGCCTCCTGCATGATAATATGAATGCAACCGTACTAAGCAACGATGGACCTCTCCTGGTCCATCGCTTTCAAATAACTACAGGCGTTACACAGTGCTGTGTTATTGCACCCACTTTATTTTCTCTATTTATAGAATCCATGCTTCACCTTGTCGAGGTTCACCTGCCGTCAGAAGTGGAAGTCCTGTACAGACTGGATGGCGGCATATTGAACCTAAGCAGACTACGAGCCAACTATAAATGATCATTTTTTGCAGAGCGTAGAACACTACCCATACCTTAGGAGCCATCTGTCAGCGAATGCACCCATTGACGCTGAAATACAACATCGCTTGAAGTGTGCTAGCGCGGCGTTCGGGCGACTACTAGAGAGAGTCTTCAACAATCACACCATTAGCGCTGAGACCAAACTTCGCGTCTACAATGCAGTTGTAATGCCAACACTCACATATGGCTGCAATACATGGACCACCTGCAGGAGACACATAAAAAGCCTAGGAAAATACCACCAGCGCTGCCTAAGAAGGATCCTACAGATTAAATGGCAGAACCGACAAACGAACGTTAGTATTTTAGATGCGGCCAAAACAACTAGCGTCATTAGGCACCAACTCTGCTGGACAGGTCACCTCATGCGCATGCCCGAAGTACGTATTCCACAACAGATTCTCTACAGTCAACTGAAAGAGGGAAAACGAAATCAGGCTGTCAGGTCAACAAAAACGCTACAAGGACGTTCTTAGGGAGAATATGGTAGAGTGCCGCATCCACCAGCAACTGGGAGACGACGGCAAATGATAGGCCTTCATTGCGTCGAGTAGTCTACGACGGACGCACGAACTTTTGAAGAACAGCGACGCAAACACGAGACCGAAAAGAAGGACCACAGGAAGGAGCCAGAGAACAGAGGAAGAGACAATGCCGCCAGAGAGGCTTAGTGTGCCAAGACTGTGGAAGAGTGTGCGGTTCCAGAATTGGTTTATATAGCCATCAGAAAATGAAAATAGAATAGAAGATTATCATACCCGGTCTCAAGTGATCGCCTATGATGATGTTACGACAGAAAATTTATGTCTGCAATATTAAAAATCAGATAATCTGGGATAATATGTGATCTCTAAAGCTTCGTATAAATAAAAAGTTGAGTATCCTCGATTCATGTGACAATCAGCATCAGCGGTCTTTTCTGTAATAAATGAATGATGTGAATAAAACGCACGAATTTGAATAAAGGAAAATTGTTCTGCGACAAAAGTTATCATGCATGATATAAAATGAAAATGATAAAAAATTCTAAGGTCCGAACCTTTTGTTTCAGATTTCAGGAAGCGAACTTGGAGTTTTAAATGCGATCTTGCAACTGTGTGTTCTTGTGATTATTATTTGGCAATCTTTTTAGAAACGTATTAGGTACATGAAAATGAAAATATTATAATGCACAAGTTTATGACATTAGTTTTGAGAAAAAATGAAATAAATTAGCAATTTGGACAGATTTATTTATACATATTTACCTATCTATAAAATATAATATATTATTTATATGAACCTATTGACCTTTTCATTAATTAATTTTGTCAATACACATCGTGCATATTTTTCTCAACTAAAATATTCGGCGATGACTTGCACGTTAGATAAGTATTTGTCGAAATAAGTATAGGTTCCATGGTGTAATGGTTAGCACTCTGGACTTTGAATCCAGCGATCCGAGTTCAAATCTCGGTGGAACCTTGATACAATTTTTTTTCTACGAGAAAAGAACTAGGTTTATAAAACAAATTCTTATATCCTACCTGAAATTGGAAACAGTTTTATCAGGTTTGATATTACTTTTTGTCCCTAAAGTCGTTTTGAATCGCAAATGCAAATAAAAATCTGCTTTTATTTCCCAAACCCCTGACTTCCTTTAGCGACTCCTGCCTTAATATAATTAGGTTTCGTACGTATGTGTCGTATTGAAACCCTGTATTTTTGAAGACAAATGACAAAAAAATGATTCAATGGGCGAATTAAAAGGCCAACTCTAGAAAAGTATTTCTTGTTCCCTAACTGACTTCAACCTATTTGAAAAACCAAAATATGAATAAGTGGCAAGTCTTGATAATCGCAAATTGGCATAAAAGGCACGTAGGTTATTAAAACTAACATAAAACTTGAACCTTTTCTCCGCTGCTCTCAAGTCATAAATCATAATGCGTGGAAACAAGGTTGGTCATTGCAAAAAACAACGAGTTTATTGAGCAGAGGCTTATATTGACTTAAATGAAATGCGTGCTTAAATACGAATCACCATTCGTGGAATTTCAAGTTAAGTCACGTTTTGGAGATTTTATGTCGATGGCAATAAATCATGCTCGACTTCAAAAAATAATTGGCAAAAGCAATTATACGTAAGGGTGTCAGCTTACAGTATTGGCACGGTACAACGAGATCCTAACGGAAGGTGGTATTGGGTTTATTCTAAAGTTCACCAAAACAGAAAATTTAATGTATGGGTAAGTTTGGCTTAGTCGGGAATTGATGAAGAATACCTATATATAAGACTTGTTGCATTGCTCAGCGGCTCTCAGGATCAACTTTCAATAAAGAACGGAGTACGGTCTGACAACGTTGCAGTTCTGTCAAAAGAAAGTCGTAGTTAACTCCTAACCCCAACCCCATGTCTTTCAATTGCGGGCAAATTCCGGCAAAAACACAAAATATAATTTTTGTTTCTATTTTTATTTGTTATGTAATATTTGATAACTTGAACAGGATTCAGATACATGGTGATTCTCTTTAGATGTTAATTTGTGTGTACGGAGTAGTTAGTTGGGGTTTACAAAGCTAAAAAGTAACCTTTGAGAGTAAGCCCTCCAAACGCTATAAAAAAACATCGATATTAAAAAAACTGATGCTGTCTCGGGGTCAGATAAATACCTAGCTTGGTTCAAAATTACACAGAAATTCCATATTTTGGGCTCAAGTAATGTTTCCAGGCCTGATTTTCGAAAAAAAAAAAAATATATGAAGGCTTGAAAGAAGATTTCCAGAGAAGGGCTGGTGAAGAAAAGAGGTCAATTTATGAAAGTGGAGGAGAACCATCATCTCGCAAGTGAAAATCTGATGATGGTATCCTGTTAGGGATTATTAACGAAAAAAAGTATTGTATGGCCTCTTTCCTTAACTGAAACCTCAGGCGGTGAACTTGTCCATTTCTTTATTTTTCCATTATCTTTTCCATTTTTAAAATTTCGAATCCGTAAGATCTGGAGACATACGAATTCTACCTTTTTGTCCAAGCTCAACCAGCTGACGATCCTTTGCGGTTTCATAATAAGAAAGTTGACTGGCCAAAATTTTGTACATTTCTACGTCAGGGAAAGAATACATTGCTGGTTTTTAGGCCAGAAAAATTGAGTGCATTCAGACACCGTCCTCGAACATATTAGTGACAAACTGGTTTTCTCGGAAACATTCATAACAGGTGTTTCACAACTTATCCGAAAAATTTAAACCAAATATGAAGTGTCACATAAGAAGTTGATTTGTCGAAAAATCATAACTTAGAAAAGACAAAATATAACGAAAACAGAGTTCCCAAAAATAAAAATAAAAGGATATTCCAATAAATACTGAACATAACTAGAAATGACAGAATCAAACAAAAACTGAAATTTTAGACTTCTGTTGTGGCCCGCTTCATGGACAGGGCCGTTCCTAGGGTATCGGCCACTCGCGTGCAAAGAACAATTGCGCCGCCCCATAGAGATATAGCACCCTTACGTTGGTGCCGGTGGAAATTTTTTTTGGGTGCCACGCCCAAAAGCGTTCATTTCGAGCCTCAAAATGAAAGTTTTTGGGCGTTTAGAGTTAAAAAAACGTGTTTGGAACAACATATCAACATATTTGTTTTCTATGAGTTGTTTGAATGCGGGTGAGTGGTGATCAATAATGACAAACACTATCCTAAACTAAGTAGGGCCTGGCTTGGGCCTAGGTACGAAAGTAAAAAATACGGCCCTGTGGAAAATCAAGACACCCCAGTCGTAATACTTAGGTAGGTACCTACATAACGTACCCACCTGCACTTGGAAGTCTTTGGTATAGCTTTTCCAAAGTTTATTGGAACAAGGTGAACATAAATTATAAGTGGTGGCTGATTAGTGGCAGTGCATTTCTTATGGAAATTTTCAGTGACTAATCGGCCACTAATTGGTACCTTGTTCCAATTGAGTTTGGAAATACTAGGTATATCAAAAAAGTTGGTAATATTGTTAGCGGGAGTATTCATCTAGTTCTGTTGGACGGTTAGTAATTATTCTTGCAGAATTAGGTGAATTGGGAACAAAAATAAACATTTTGAAAAAACAAAGCAGAAGTCCCTATTTAGAAAATTTAAAAAATTATGCGATCTTATGATGGATATGTGTACAGAGTTAAAACATTATGCGTGAGCCAGCACATTGACTGTGCACTAAACTTTCTATTTATGCTATCAGGAGATCGGGGTTCATTTTCATTTTTCAGGAGTTTTCTAAAGTTCAGCTTATTTCTTTATTAGAAGTAGTTTTATTTTGAGAAATTCGTAAAAAGTTTTACTTGAATCTTGAATGACAGAATTATTATCCCTAGATTTAGCCGCCCGCGTGCGGGGCATGCGCTGCACACCTGCTAGGATCGGCCCTGTTCATGGAAAACAAGTTATTGCCATATCCCGCATTTTTAAGAGCCAATTTAGATTCTATTTAGTAGCGTCAAGTTTACTGGACGCGACCCCTGACAAGAAACCCTTCTGTCCAGTACACTGGACGGTGGCATTCAACCTGACTTTACCTATTGTTCACAAAAATATATCACTATAACTTACCGTCCACTTATTCCAGTTATTCGCTAGGTTTAAGGGATATCTCTGTTACTTTAACGCATATCAGACTGACACTGCATATTTGGGGGTTATTCCTGGGAGCTCACATGTTATGCCCGAGCGTTACTGTCGTTACTGAGCTCCAAGCGCTCATTGGTTCCTTGTCGCAGTCACTGTCTTGCTCATCAGGCGCTCTGCGGTGTTGAGGTCTATATGGACATAGCGTCGCGGTTACGCGTATGTCACACCATGTAATGTCCGACGCACGAGAGTTCAAAGGTGACAAATATGCGAACTAATATTCCTATCACGCTCTTTTCGACTGCAACTGTTTATTTCCATATCGTTTCTTCCTCTCCCTTCACGTCAGACTGGAACGCTTTTCTCTCAGTAGCCAACCTTTAGTTGCCAGATTCCGCACAAGACCGTTTAGGTTAGAAAGGCGAAGTTAAGGACGTCGTGGAACCCTTCATGCGGTGTTGCCAGATTGTGCACAGTTTCCTCAACTAAGGGAGAGCCACTGTACCTACACATTTCATTCTATTGCATTGAAATTGGCCTGCAAGATATTGACTTGCCAGACCTTTTTAAGTGTCAATCCTGTACACACAAGTAACTGATCTTCTTGATGACCCTGTATGGTCCTTCCAACCGTCTTTGTGATTCCGGACTTGATCTCTGTCCTTCGCTGTGGCTGATACAGCCTTATTGAAGATGTTCATCCTACAGGCATTGAATTACACTCACTTATGTAAATTTCCGTTGGCCAACTAAGTTGTAAGAGAGGTATTAAAAACATGCATGTAAAATCGTCGACAATTTGGGACGTTATCATAAAATGGAGCATCCATCTTTTATCTCTAATCGTCTCATTTTCTAATCGTTTACAACTTGGGTTATGGGGTATCAATTATTTTGCTAATGGGGAGTGAGTCGACATAAAGCCTGTCAACGCAAGATACTCAAAATAATGTCGAGGGATATATACCGCATTGTAATTGATTGTGGATAAAATGTAGGTACAGGTCGGAATATAGATTGTGATGCACAGGCGTTAGAGCGTGGATTATTTATTAAGGATAACGTATTCGAGCGGCACATATAAATTACTTCCAGAGTGAAGCCAGATGTATATATGGAATCGAAATTCGGTTCGGGAATCTATTGTTTTATTTCCTCTAGAGGTTCTGTTTCTGCGGGTAGTTCGGCGTTTAAAGTAGGATTCGATTGAATCGAGTGTGAATTTGAGCTTTGGTATTAGCAATATCTTATCTTCGTTGGATTCATAATTGAAAGAAAAAGACTATATCTCAGTATAAACTGCAGGAAATATCTCTTTGTAAGTGTAGTTCCATAGGAGGATGCAGTTCGGTTTATTTTGTTTTAATAGTGAGATATTAAAATTTAAAACCCACCAACTTCTAAATAATACATCTTCCTTTATATAAGAATGACTCTTAAAATTTCAAAGCCTCTCCCAACAAGACAGCCAACAACCTTGTGGAAAACTGTCTTAAAATTCATCTGCCGACTACTTATTTCTCGTACTTAACAGTTAACTCCTTGGGGGCCTCCATAATAAAACCCTAAAAGTTTTGGGATTTCACCACGTCTTCTCCATGTCCTTAGGCCAAGGATGAATTTAAAATTAGAATCCGTGTTGCGCGGCGGGGGTTTTTACATTTAGCTTCAACTAGAGCAGAGCTGGTCTTGTTTGTCAAAACTGGGATTTTGTTCAATATAATATTAAAACTATTTTGAATTAGTTGCTGTATTGTAAAAATAGAGTTTTTCATATAAAAAAATCTCATAGAATAGGGGTGTTTAAAAACTATCTGGACGCCCCTTGCCCGTTTAAAGATCAAGGAACATATTTTACTCCGAATACAGTGACAAGACAGACCAAATTCAAAACTTCTAAAGGGTGTTTGAAGGACGGTCTTCACAATGTCAAAATCGCAGATATTCAGTGGTATGTGATTTCACAGTGATGTGGCCCATGAAAAAATTTTAGGAATGTAAGGTTTTAGTTGTCAAGGCGGACATGAATTAATAAATTGAGAAAAAACGAAAAAACTTTTTTTTAACAATTGCTTATCGCCATTTTTATGAAGGATGGACAAAATGAAAAATTCAAAAATTGGATATTCCGAAATAGTCTTAGGAGGGCCTTGTGTATTGAGAATTTTACAAGGCAAAGAAGTAGCTACTGTATTGAAAGAGTCAATCATTTTATGGATAAGTGACCATTTGTATTGATCATTTATCTAAACAAGAAAATCACAATAATCGACTTTCATATAATACCTATACACAAACGATTTAAAAAAAATGTAGTGTGCTTAAGACCACACGACAAAGTTGAAAACTTCAATTAGGCGAGATAAATAATATGTAGGTTTAATCTTTAATTATGCTCAAGGAAAAAAAAATTATAATAATTGTTGTCAAAAATTACTTTAAACAATTTTTTTTTACATTTACATAATGTAGATATGTGTATAATATTAAATTACGTTCAAGGAAAAACACACGTATTGTGAATGACGTCAAACGACAAACCTAACCTAGAAAGATTTTTGTGTTGTGAAATGATAAAAAAATGTCAAGTTTATTCTTAGTTGACTCCAGCCGACTTTGCCCGAATTAATATTACATAGCCTAGCGTAACGGCTCAGTTTCATTCAATACCCACAAGAAAGCGTGTCGAACTCGAACGCGCCTGAAGATGTTCCTACTTCAAGATGCGTCAAGGATACATTATTGAAGATTGTTCAGGAATCTATACAGATCCAGAAAAATGACACTGGCACATTGATCTTATTGCTAAATTCTGTGCTGTTTTTGAGCGTGTTTTTTTATTGCCTATAATTTCTATGACACGATACCAGAAAAAGCCCTATGATTGACCAATGGATGCCCTAAAGAATACTCACAAGTCCATTTTCCAAAAAATTATTTATTATTTTTTTAAAGCATTCAATAAGTACTCCAAAATTCAAACGGACGCCGCTGATATCCTCTTTCGTAACTCGGCCTGTTCTCTATTTTCCAGAATTTTCAACTGGAACAAATCGAAGCACTGTTCAAATCGGCGCAACCTCAAATTAAGACACATTTACGTTTGTAGCATTTAGCATACTAAACGTGGAATCGTTGAATCTAATTTTTCGTTTTCCTTCCACTTGAAATGCCAACAGAAAGAATATTTAAACATTGGAAGAAATCATTACGAAACATATTGGTGTGAATCGATACGAATTTTTTTTCTTCCATTTAGAGCAGTGTATTTTCGAGTAACACTAGTCCAATTTCTAAATTAGAAATATCCTGCTGGAAGAATCTATCAAATACATATAACAGAAACTGCTTTCTATACATAATAAGATACGTTTTAGGAAGTAAAATTTTTATGCTAGCATAAATTTCGAATAATTTTGAAAAATATATTTATAATTTTTTAGAGTCTATAGATAAAGACTAGACAAAATGTAACAAGTACATTCTTTGCAAGTACATAAGGGAAATGTTGAAAATGAGAAGTCAAATGTGGAATGAAATTTAGGGAGATCAAAATCAATTTTGTTCTCAATAGGGATACCTACAACAAATATATTGGATCTGGATATTTGAATTAAGTATATTGTTTTTTTTTAGTTTTATTTTGAAAACTTCCTAATAGGTAATAATAATCCTCTTATGTCTACATTTTTTACCAGAAAAAAACCCTTACAAACAGTAGTCATACTTTGTTGAGGATACCGCTAGTTTTAATAGCCTTTTTTCCGAAGGGCAAAAAAGGTTTCCGATAGACTACAATAAACTTTTACAGCCAAATGTGAAGGCTTGAATAACTTTCAGGCTTTTGGGGAAAAGTAACTTTATGTGCCATGAAAAAACATTTTGGTGGAAACGGTATGACCCACGCAGTAACGTCAGTTAGTTATCACAAAGACAAAAATGAGGCAAAAAGACTTGATTCTCACAATCCTCTTTAATTTTTGAGCAACTAGTTTTGGAATCAAACAGTTTTACATATCATCATTAGGCTTAGTGTGGTAGGGCTAACGCACCTTAAATTTATTAAATTGGGATTTTCTGAGACTCGTTATCTAATCCGTGTTATTTTTTTCAAGTTTTAGTGAGTTTTTGGCAAAAAGCGTTCACATTTGTGGATTAATTTTTGTAGTGGCTAATTATGTATTAGTGTAATTAATTATCACAGAATCACTTACCTCTTTATCCTCAGAAGGATGCTTGAAGATCAATTCCCCATTGGGGCCGGTTTTTCTCAAGTTGAGTTCACAAGCAGGTGTCCTAATGAACTTCCAATTTCCTTCGAAGAACAACGAATTGAAGTCGTCTGACGCATTCATGCTGGATACGTCAAATTTAAGTTCTACGACGTTGGCCGACGAAATGTACGTATATGGTAAAAGCAGGTTTTTATCCACATCGCACAGGCAGTCTCTGAGAAGAACGAAACAAAATTTAGACATCTAATTTCAAGGAGGGTTGACCAACTTCAACATTGTTATGTTCAGATTAGGTGATTCTGGATTTCGCTTCATCATGCGACCAAGCAAAAGTGAGTGGAAAAAAACAAACTTGTTAGGAAATTCGACGAATTCATAAACCAATGCCAAATTGTTTTTTCAGATACGACTTGATAGGCAGGTGATATTACGATATATATTTTTAAAAAAGTCCATTAGATACCTACTTTTATTCAATTGCGTTGACAACGGGTATGAGAAGTTCGGTGGTCTTACTTCGGTACTGAAAGCTTGTGATACATTTGACCACTTTTTCAGTAATTTGACTAGTTATTCCAGGTTACCAAACAGATTCTTTTTATTTTTTAGTCTCTGTTCCATATTAGATAAATTTTGGTAAACATAAACAACAAAAATAGTGCGGCATCATCAATAAGCAACGCATTTGTTCCAGGGCCTATCTCTTATGGTGCTCTGGATAGTATGTCTGGAATAATAATAACAACCTGATCGAGATGTATGGAAGATGACTACCGTGTAGCTGAACTGCATTAGGCTTATGAAGAACGCTGTATTCTGATGGGTTATAGGCTTGTTATGAAGAAGCTCGGCAGGTCTTTCTTTTGTACTCATGATAGCTTTTTGACTCGCTGAACTCAAGTCTCACATCATGCTTTTCAGGCGAAAGATGCAAGGGCGGAGTATTTTTATTGACCAACAGATACTCGAACTTACAGACCAATCCTACCAACCAAAAATTTGGGTAGGTATGATTTTTGATTCATGTCTGACTTATGAAAAACACACGCACGTTTCATTCACACATAATCAAACGAGGCTTCTGTAACTTAAAATTATCAATTTATAGCAACTGAAAAATCCTAGCAGAGAAAGTATTAAAACTCTACTCGGTGACATCTAAGTTTTTTGGCAATAAACTTAAAGTAATATTTTACTTATAGCTTAGAAAAATGTGATGCTCTAATGCTTAAAGTATACTGTAAAATACCTGCATTCGTCTAATATGTGGCTTAGGGCCGGTTTATTCACCATCTAAACTGTCAGGTATGCAATCCGACGGATAAAAACGCAATCTGTATCCCATTGGTCGGCCAGTTATTCGCCGACCAATAGAATTATAGCACCGTAAATTTATCTCGCAGATAGTTACCAGCAAGTTTATATCTGAAGATGGGCCTTAAGCAGGAAAGGACATGTTTCACACGAATTAAATTATTTGAACCAGCTCAAAATGTCAGGTACTGCACTGCTCGGTATTTTTTATTGATATTTACCATAAAATTATTTATGGACTGAAAAGTGTATTCCTAGGTCCCATAATTCCATGTCCGATCGGATCCGCGGCCTCTATAGTGGCAAGAATACTGGAAGGACGAAGATAACGGGCGTTCGATAATAGCTTTGATAAATAGTTTTGGTCAGGTCGCCTATGGAAGGTAATTGTCACAAAAAACGTATGTCTTGGCTTCGAGCTTCTGTGCGTTTTTACAAATCAAAATCAGTTTTTTTCAGAGCCTACGAGTGTTTTCGCTGTTTTTTGGCGACTTTGTTTTGTCACGTGAGTCCCGCAAGAAACACAACTTGGAAGCATCTCTCCCAATAAGTCGCACTATCCTTGGGGACATGTTACACCATTAAAAAAAAAAATGTACACCTTCATGCCTATAGGATGAGCAGTGCAAGTGTAGACATTCCTAGATCTTACCATGCGCACTCTTTATTGCCAATGGTTGATGGACAATCTGTTATCCACATCTTCTTGCCTCAACATTTTTGAACGATGAAGCATGGTACTTAGCTTATTTTCCAATTTGAAAGGAAATATCAATGCATTCCGCTATCGGGGACATATTCTGCAACCATTTTTCAAAAAGTTGCATGATGATGTACTTCAGCGAGGTTACAAGAAATTTTGGATCTGCTTTACGAATATTGTGATGGCCGGGTTATAAGCAGAAATACAGACATGCCTTTTCCTTCCAGATCGTGCGATTTAACTTCATGCAACTTTTTCTTGTTCATCTCAAAAATTCAATATTTTGACCTCCCCGAAAAACGCTTGAAATATACTAGATTAGAGTCGAAAAATTTGTTCATTATAATTTTATTGAGGACAAAAAATGGCTCAAAATTTTTTACCTCCGTTCAGCGATTTAGATGAGCTTGGACATCAAATAACAAACAAAATCCAAGGGGTAAGTAACAATCTTCAATGCTTCAAAATGTGTCCAGTTCATCTAACAGTGCAAAGTTAGATGCTGAGTTCCTGCTGATTGTTGGGAAATTCAAATTATCTAAACGTCTATAGTCCAGATATGGATCTTTGAATTTTGGATTTTATCAGTTGTGTTGTTTTTGATTTCTTGGAGTGGGAAGGTTATGTTCAGAACACAGTTTAATTGGCACAAACGTTGTTGCATGCTTTCAGGTTTTTTCAAATGGGATGCGCTATATTTGGTTCTATATTCTTGAAGAACACAATTTCCCGATTCCAAAACTATATAGTTTGTCTATATTTGGTTGAGCCGTCTCCGCCATATTTGGTTCTAAATATTTTAAAAATACTATCAGAGAAACCAAGTACCTCAAACTTTACCTGCAGCTTCCACCTGTACAGGTAGAATGGTTCACTAAATCAGTAGTAGGATAGTATTTTTACAATTTTTGGAGCCAAATGTATGAGAGATTGCTCAATCAAATATAGATCGGGGCATTGTGGTCTTCAGGAATATATAATGAAATATACGGCATCCCATTTGAAAAAAGCTGGAAGCATGCAAAATTTCACATTTCTGACATTCAAATTTTGTTTCTGACCATGGTTTCTAAAAATTCAGCCAAAACTGTACAACTTTTGTATTTACACCTTTTTTTTACCTGTAAAGGTAAAGGCTGTAGGTGGGGTGTCAATATATAAAAAAAACACCCTGTACTATTTAAAATCACCTTATTCTCCTAAATAGCTCCCCCATTCCCATATTTTTATGGGCCATTCCTTCGAAAAACCGTATCTTGCACAATGCGCTGCTAAAACTAACCCAAACTAACCCAATCTGGCTTACTTTAACTTAAACTGCCCCTCCCCCTTTCAAAAGGCCTGTATCCGCCCCTGATAAAAGAAGAATATAAAAAATTGTTTGGGCATCATGTTGGTTTTCTAATATTGCGATTTTATCGTCACCGTATGTTGAACAATGAACCGAATAGAGAATTATGAACCCAGCTCCAGAGAACCAAATTCAACAGATTTTTGGGTAACGAATGAAAAAGTATTGTTTTTTATTATTTATTATTTTTGAGTAGTTTGGGTTTTTAGCACTCATCTCGAGTCCAATATTTTTTCATTAAAACTACTTTTTGTAGCTAGAACTCAGGAATGATGGTTGAAAAAGAAGAGTTCTCGGCGTTAATGAGGTTTTTGATTGCCATTGTGGCCAAAACGTTCATTATCTATGAGTTTTTTTTCCCAATTGTACATTGCACTCGTTAGTATTTCAATGACAATATCCTTCTAATTGAAATTACTATTTATAACTGCTCACGGTATCAAGGCGGTTTTTGATACTCCCATTGTGGGCTTTGTGGGCATAGCTATACCGTTCATTGTCTGAGTTTTTTTTGGAATTTAACTCTCGTTAGTATAATAATACTTTTCTATTAGAAATTACTTCTTTTATTTCAACTCGAGGGTGCTAATGAAAGAAAATAGTTTTTGTTGGAAAATCGATTTTTGCGGTTTAACCCTGCTGTAGCTTTGTAGCGGTATTGTTAAAGAAGAATTACGATACAATCGTTGATAAAAAAATGAGCTTAAATGATTCTGGTTTCAAATCAAGGATTTTGGGAATAAAAAAAACAGAATAGAATAGCTTTTTTATGTTTTTAGGTGGGTTTAATTGAAATTATTTCAATCCGAATTTTGAAATTTTGTCCCAACCGAGGGCTTCATTTTTTATTCCTGATGAACAATAAGACTGCAAACTGCGTATGTACAAATTAAACATCTTTTAAAACGTTCAGCTCGTTTTTACTCGTGTTAGAGAAAGTTGAGCCAGCCGCAGTTTGTTTGAGAAGCTTGTGATCTTTAGCCCCTGGTCACGAAACCGCTTGAAGCGAATTATGTCTTTGGGTCTCTGGCTTTGTTATTTAGTTTAAGCCCGATTTGAGCGCAGAATTTAAATTCAAAGAGAATGGAAATTATACACTGTGGTATTGAGTTTACGAAGTTAATGGAAAAGTTTACAAAAACTCCGGCGCCGGCAAACAAGCTTGGTATAATAAAAATTGACTTACCCTTCCAAAGCATCCAATAATACATTCGACCTTAATTTTAAAATTCATATACCGGCAATATTTCTAAAAATATATCCAAGAACATCTTCAAGAATAGGCAGATCTTTTAGTATCTACTAGAACTAAAGAACACAAGTGTAGCTACATAAAAAATAACATTTCTCATTGGGCTTAATATTTGAACCAAGAAGCCCATGATTTTGTTAAAGATTTGAAAATAGTGCACATTAAAACTAAGTCCATAAAACTTAATTACTTGGAAAGTATGTAGATCAATAAAAGGAAAAAGTCTAATTGGTACCTCAACCACATCACAGGGCTAAACAATAGACCAATTTGAAACGACCTTTCTATTAGCAGCATTTTCTTACCCCTATGAGACTGGTATTGAATAAAAAAGAACATGACCAAGAACTTCATTTAGGTACTATTTGTGGACCTAAAAAGCATTTCACCAAATTCCACTAAAACAGCTATGGGAAGCACTAGAAAAGACCCATATTAACTTAGAACAAATAAAGGCAGTTCAAACGCTCTATGGTGTGGCAAAAACCAAGATCACACAGGGTAGTGATCAGCAAGGGCTTTACAGCAACTAAAAGACTTAAACTGGGAAGCTGCATCTTACCAACACCTCCCAAAATATACTTGTTTTGGAAC